AAATAAGGAAAACATACTTACAAAGCCAATTAAAAATACAAGGTAAAAGCTCAAACTCCAGTAAGATTTAAAAATAGAGAATGCAAGTCAGTTTAAGTATGCCTATGGGCTATTTGTATCAGTCATCTATACATTGGTATCAATAGATACTAAAAATAATAAAGTTTCAACACAAAAGCACTCAGAATAAGGAGAGCATTTGCAGCAGTGTCAAGTTGACTGGCCAAAGCTGGTTAAACCTTTTCTGAATTCCAACAGTGACCCCATGCTTTTTTTTTTTAAATTTGGACTTTTCCTTCTTTTAATGCTGCTCGATGAGAGACACCTTCTTCTATTTTTACACCTTAAAGAGAAAAATATACTTCTTTCACAAGGTAAAGTGCTTCGCAGGCACGAGGAAAGAGGAAAGCAGTTCTTTCCTTTTTACAAGAATTTCTTTCCATATGTAAAATAAGTTTGTTTTCTTCACAATTAGCTGCTACTTCAGTGGAAATATGAAATTATGAAATAATAGATATATATTGGACAGCTGGTAGTTTGCTTTGTGAGCCTTCATGTGCGGTATGTGGTGTGAAACACGGCTTGGAAAATTCAGCTTTATGAACGCTGAACGCTAAAGGAAAGCTGGAAAGCTTGTTTTAAATGTTTGAAAGCTTTGGGGGAAGAAGCCCTGTGAGCAGTGAGGTCTGGGTTCTGAAAGTCAATCCCTGTGCATGGCGTTTTGTGGTGGGTTTTATTATTAGCAGGAGAAAGTCAATCTACGTGAGTGTGTGTGTGGTTTTTTATTTTTTATTATTAGCTGGGGCAAAGATGAGTCAGTCACACAGGGTGTGCAGCTCCCTGCTTGTCGTGCTTCTCTGTCCTGCTGGGGGAATGCTGAGCCTGCTAAAATTCAGGCAGTTAAATCGAGGATCATGAGGACACAGAAGCACCCTGGATTCGTTTTCTGTTCTGCTGGGGATGCACAGAAGTGTAGAGTCCTGCGTGCTCAGTGCTGCAACATTAGCACTTGTAAGAGTAAAAATCGTGTCTTTAAAGACTGCAGGAATAACTATTTCATACAGGAAGCAGCTTGCTTTTTTCACTGAAATGAGAAGGATAGTTTCCTAAAAATTATATTTCTAGGTGGAACTAGATGTTGGATATTTGTGCTAATCAGCTCCTGGAGCTTCCTAATGCTGCTGCCTTATTCTAAAAAAACAAAACACAACAAAAACTTAATTTCCTTTTGTCTGTAGAATCAATTTCCTTTTCTGTATTTACTCAACTCGAAACAGATGTGTTTTCATAACAGAAATGGTTTGGTATTGTGTGTGGTGCGTGCGTAGTGTGCTGCTGGTACTTGCCTGGTCGTGTTCTGTCCCTGCACGTGCAATTTGGAGGATGCATTTCTTCTCAAAACGGTTATCTCGTAAAGCACAGGAGCTAAGGAGGACTTGAGAGTGCATATAGTCGTCCTGGGCAGAAGCAGGTGATATTTTTGTTAGGGTTTGGTGTTACACGTAAGCAGTGTGTATTACAAAGATGTTGAGTTCAGTACTGGTGGCTGCGCAGTGGAAATATATCAGGGGTCGAACCAGCCTGAGGACTAGGTTTGTCCTCAAAATCCTCCATATGTTAAAATCCCTTTGAATGCTCTCAGAACAGCTGTTGATGCAATATGCAAAGCCCAACCACTTGCCTACAGTTAGGAAAGTTGATTAGTTTGATTTTTCTGAGGCTTGAAGTTCTTTTGTATTATCTTTCGTTGAAATGACAAGAAAATTCAGATGTGTAAGTGCAATAGTATACACAAATGCCTAGAAAAACTGAAGAAAACTGTACCTGCTGCTACTGGGACCCAGCTACTTGCCCCGGGGGAAGATTTAACATTGACAAATGCCTGGTGAAGAAGCATAAGAAAAATAAATATGAATTTTTCAGAAATTCTTTTCAGAAAAAAAAATCTAATATTATACACAAAGGCAATTTGACTGGAATGCTGCAAGTGGGTATTTTGTTAAAGATGTTAAGGAGCTGTATTAGTTTTGTGTAATACAGATAATAAAGCAGCTGGGCTTTCAGGAGAAAATATAAGATGACCAGCACTTAAACACCATGTGCATTCACTGCAGAGAAGCAGCTGCACAACGCAGATTGTTTTGTTCACTTAAAGCCTGTAGGAGCTGTAAGAAAACTGGCATAAATAGATAAAATTAGTCACAGTCATCGCTGCACGAGGAAATACAGGGACTTCAGAATTTCACACTGATCATCACTCAGAAGACAACACAGAACCAGATAAGATGCTCGATTTTGGAAAAATGAAGCTTAAATTTTATAGTATGTAAATTAATTTAAGTTGGAAATTATTTCACGTCTATTCATGTGAACAGATGTGATTCATCTATCACATCTATACATCTATTAATTGCTGTAGAGTTTCACGACAGGCTTATTAACAACTTTGCAATAATTGAACAGACAGAGAAGTGAAATCCTTCTTCCAAGGATTATGGAAGATGAGTCATCATTGTACCAGGCACAGATTAAAATCTCTTTTATGAAATCGGGTGCTGCCGCAGGATTTTACATGGAACAACTGCGGGAGATTAAGCTGGACTGAAAAAATGTGAAATGCATGCAGATTTTAAAAAAAAAAAAAAGGAGGGGGGTGGAGCAGGGTGGAAATAGTATCCAGGGAAGCAAAAGGGAGAAGTTCCTAACCTTGTGATGCTGTGTGCCACCAGCTGATCGGTAGGAGAGGCTGGGAGGGACCTGGGCACTATTCCTGGTGTTCCCCGCAGAAAAGGGGCCACGTGGCCGTCCTGGTTCTGCAAGTGATGGGGGACTCCTCCTCAGCCTGCTGGGTCTTCATTCATCTGGTGCTGCCCTGGCACTTCAGCAGTTCCTTAGGACAGAGAAAAATGTGTTGACCTTGTGACCAGGATACAGAGCGTGTGTTCCAAGACTGAGCTGTGTAGAAACCACCAAAAAATACAGCGAGATTTGTTTCGTTATGTCAGATTAATGCTCAAAATAGCCATCGTGGTTATAGACTGGTTCTTATTTTCGTGGTGCTGAAAGCACCAAAGGACACTTAGCTAGCTGGCTGTCCTTGCAACAGCCCGAAGAAATGATGACAAAATGATCTGCATAGGGGATTATCTCCAGCAAGAATTCAGACTGGCCCAAGGCGTGGATAATGACCTGGTGAAGCTGCCAAGTCTGGTGCTGCCACGAGCAATTGTGCTCGGAGCCCCAGCTTCTGCCAGCTTTCTCTTCTCAAAAAAAAGCACTTTGGCTGTGGCATCAGGAAGGTGGTTCCTACGAAACTCCAGCCGCGTGTGCTGAAGGAACTCATGTGAAAGCCACTTGGATTTCTAAAAAATCAAAGTACCAGCTAGAGTTTTCTGCAGATTAAGGACAGTTACTCATATCTACAGACATAGGTTTTCAAAAGTGCAATGCCTGTTGCAACAAGACCCTTTGTATTTTAGGGACTGAGAGTTCTGCAGAGACCTGGATGGATATACTGGGAGGAATCCATATTTTGTTGCAGTAGACTGCCTTTCTGGTAGCCACAAAGAATACTTCAGACCAGAGAAATCACTCAGTACAAGTGGTATCAGTGTTAATGTTTGTTTATAAGGCAGGTATTCCTGTCGGTGACAAATAAACACAATTCCTTGTCAAAGGAAATGAGACTTCATTAAGAAGCAGGAAAAGTCTATGTTACTCCCTCTATTTGCTTACTGATCTACTCTTCTTGGTGCAAAAGTGAAACCACTGAAACATCAGAAGAAATAAACAAAAATTAGCAAGATGAAATACTGTAAGTAAGAGAGCAAGTGTTTGGTAATATAAACTAAATGTTTGATGTTACAAACTCAAAACCAGCAGCTTGTTACCATAGCAAGTATATTGCATTACATCAGGTGATGCTAGCTATAAAATACCTGATGTTTTGAATTGCTGTTGTACTATTTTTATTGCTTAGCTGTTCCCTATAAAGACAAAGGTAGCAAATCCTGACTTTTTTTTTTCTGTTGCTTCTTCAAAATTTAGTCGGTGTTCTGCAAAATAAAGTGAAATAGTTGATGTTTAGAATATGCTGTATTTAAATAGCTCATATTTGGGAAACGTCATGGGATGCTAGCTCTGCAGAACTCCTGTTCATGGCGTTTATTGAACTTCTAATGAAGCTGTTTAGTTAGCTGTATTTAATATACTTGTATCTTAGTATAGGGCATGATTTTTAACAATGAAGCCCCTGCAAACCTTATTGTGCGAGGTAGTTAAGGTGTGTGATGATGGAGACCCCCAACAGTAAGGTTAGAAGAATATGGTAAGAGAGAATTTACTCAAGTAAAAATTAAATGTAACTGCTGGATGAATCAGTCGCTCTGCAGAGTGTATCTGTATAGAGACATATTGCCTATTACAGACTTTTTATATAGATAAATTGCTCTATCCTTAAGAAGTATTGAAAAATAGCGAGTTGGCAATCATGCCACACTGGAATCGCAGCCTGAACCTTCAGCCTGATGCTAGGATATCTCTGCACTGGAACTACCCGTGATGTCTTTGCAAGGTTTCGTGGAGTGTATGTTTAATGTCTTGTGGTGTTGATCAGACTGGGATTATTTCCATGGAAACTTCACCATTAGTGTCTTGTGCATCATTAATAGTTTGACAGAAATCAGAAAATGAAATGAGGGTATCTGCAAGAGAATATACACATTAGAGAACACTTACCTTTGTCTAAAGGCATGAAAATAGTTCATGTTTATAGTTTTCTGCCCCAGGGCTGGGAAGAGTCAGACTTTTCCCTGGAATTCCACTTGCAAACTTTTATTTTCATGGTAAAATGTAATCATCTGATAGATCCTGTTGTCTTCAGGTACTTCAAAAATGTATGTCAGGCAGGTGCCTCATGCTTTGTGGGCCTTGACTGCTCACCCTCATTTGTGCCAGTGAATGGAAAGACAAGACAATTATCTCTCTAATTTGATTCATAGAAACTGTGAGTGAAGTCTTGGATGTTGCAGCTTCTCCCCACGAGGAAAGCTTAGACAGTGTCAAGGAAGGAGTATCCTCAGAAGCTCAAGAGATTTCCGAGACATCCTCGAGGAGCCAGGACGTTGACGCTGAGGAGTCGGGACAACCTTCGGAAGGTGCAGGAGAACAGCTGGGTCTGGAATGTTTTGTCTCTGAAAAGCACTAGTGGCTGTTTGAGCTGAGCAGGCAGAACCCAAGTGATGCCATGTAGCTGCTTGCCACGTCGCTGCTTGGCACCATTGCACTAGCAGAGAACTTAATTTGGAAATTCTATGCCATGCAATAGAAATAGGTATTGCTAAGTCAGACCGTGGGGGTGTTTTAAGCTTGGTCCCCTTCTAAGCAGCTAGATGGAAATGTGCTTCGTAAGATGCAACAAGCTTTTTAAACATCTGACCTAATTTGAAAGGTAGAATTCTCTTAAATTACATTGCTGTGAAGAAAAATAGAGAGAATGTGATATTTATAAATGTTACAGTATTTCAGCGAAGCTATAAATGATCTCACATTGCTACTGAAGTTGAACAATAAAATTGAACACAAAGAAAAATGTGTGTTAAAATCATCACTGCGGAGATTTTCAAGGGACTTTAGAAGTTTGGCCTCTAAACTCTTTTACAATTAGACTTAAAAAGCTAAAAGGAAAACTGTCTGTGTACCTAACAACACTTTGTAAATTGTATCCCTTTGGTCCAAATCCTTTGGACTAAAGGGAGACAACTTACTCAACAATTTGTTGTCAAGTGAGTTGTGGGATCCTTTGGACTAAAGGGAAACAACTTACTCAACAATTTGTTGTCAAGTGAGTTGTTTGCAATGTTTCTCATTGGTGTTTTATCTTCATTTTCAGTTTCTGTGGAGGAGAAGACACCTGAAGAAGTTGCTAAGGAATCCTAAAGGTACAATTGCAGCACGTGGCTTCCTGCTCTTCACCTTTCTTTTTTGTTTTTCTCCGTTAGTGGCAATTGTAGCACATGGTCAGTCTGCACATGCACTCTGATGGTGAATTTGTATTTCTGTTCCCAACAACCACACTGCAAAAAAGAACTTAACTGAAGTATTTCTTATTGTTTTGGAACCATTGCTGGCATCTTTTAGAGGCTAAGGAGCAAAACTTTTCTACATCAGTTGTCATGCTGGGTATTTATTTATGGCTTTATCTTAGTCTTTGTCTGTGATGTTCTTTCTACTTTGCTGCTCCCTGGGACTCCCCTTCCCAAAATGACTGTCAGATGGTGATAGAAACTTGAGGGAAATAAACACTTTGGCTGAAATACGAACACGAATCTTGGTAGAAAAGATATTTACTAGAAGAGAAACAGCTGAAAGTTAAGCAAATAAACTTCCTAGGTCAGGAATTCTCCAAATTAATTTGATGCTAGTTAACAATTCAAACACTAATTGTTGGAACACCAGCACAAGAGGAGAAGGAAACGGAGCAAAGAAAGTTATTTTTCATTGCATCCTCAAAATCTATGTTCTAAATACACTCACACAACCTTATTGTTATGTTCTGAGTCCTTTGCAAATGCACATTTGCCTATTCCATCATCCACTGCAATATAAAATAAGGTAATGCCTCTTACCTTCTTGTGATAAAAGGTAAGTAATGTTCTTAAAACTCCATCGTTTTCTTCCATGCTGTTTTAGCATTTAAAACTAAGAAAAAAAAAATAGCACAAAGCCAACCCCACAATTATAGAATATTTTACAAAATGCTAGTGTAAGGTAAGTTCCTCTACCAAACAGAATTTTTGTGTTTTACTGGGAATAATGGTGTGAAGGGGAACAGATCTTTAATGAATGTGAGATGTGCAAAAAATTTGCAAGTGTGTGCTTTTCAAAGCTGTTATTTTAGCTTAAAATGAAAGCTAAGGGCACCCAAGGACACCACATCAGAAAAATAAGTTACCAAGTAATTCTCTCGACTCTGGGACGCATAAACGCAGTGATACAGAGAAAGTAAAAGAATTACAAATCTTTTTTTTTTTTTCCTATAAGCATCTTGCAGCCCTAGAAATTGTTGTATTGTTATTCCAGATTTTGATTTTGACAACAAATACCCAATAGAGCCAGTTCAATTAATGAAGGCAGAGACGATAACTGGAAGGGGTGGGAGTGGGAGGAAAGACAAACTGTAGAAAACACCTTTGATGGAAAGAATTGAAAATAGATGAAAAATGGATGAATCTGCTACCAGAATACAGGTCCACTGAATTCTGCTTAAACTACTTGGGCTCTTTTTTGACCAAAAAATTTACTTTTTATGAATATAGCATCACAAGGCTACAAAAAGAGTCTCTTACTGAGTTCCAATTTGATCTTGTTGGGGGAGAAAAAAAGGTTTAGAAAACATTTTTACTGCTTAGTGCTGGAAGATCGCTGGCTGATTTATTCCAATTTACAAGTCAAAAGCCACAATGCACACCCAGTCAGGAATGAATTTTTAATTTTTTTTTATTGTATGTTTTGATTATAAGCACTTTTGGCTATTGACATTAACTTTGAGTTTGCATTAAAACACAGTATAGTTTTTAAGGAATTCAAAGCAAAAAATAAATAACTAAAAGAATGTTGATATGAGAATCAAATCAGTAACCAGTTAACTTTTTAAAAAATTACTAAGTATTCGGTGAAGGGATAGAACTGGTAGTAATGCATGAAATCCACAGATGAAGCCTTGAATTGATACTGAGAGTATACTTGAGTAAGACTGTACTATTGTTCCCCTTTCTTTTCAGAGTACAACCGTGCTACTCTGTGTGGCTCTTGGCCCCAAACTCACACAGCTACGAATCTACTTATATCAGTAATCTCAGCGAACACAATTGGTTTACCTCGTGCTTAAAGTTAAGCAAGTAACTATTTGTAGAAGTGAGGCTTAGTGGAACGTGTCCATCATGCAGGGGAATTCTTTCATACCTGAGCAACGTGGCTGAAAATGAGGGGGTTCTTTGAAACTGGGCTTTGGTGGTGGTAGCACAGCAAATTTTCACGAGCCATCAGATAAGTTTGATTTACACAGTAGTACTGTTTATATGCTGTAATTCACCTAACTGGTAACCTGCAGCCAAATTCACAGTGTGCTTTGAATGTTTGCAAACAAAAAGACCTGATGAATCAAGTCTGTTGCTAAACATCATTTATTGTTGCTTCCTCTAAACCAGATTCTTTTTTCTTCTTCTTCCCAGCAAGCAGTGCTGAAGCCTTTGAAAAGTTTAATGGGAATATTCGTGGCAATCAACCAGCTGACTCCTGTGTGAAAGAAACCTCATACTCTTCCTTGGAGACCTAAAAGAATTGTGCAGTTTGTCACACCGCACGCTGCTCCTTAGGACCAGTATTCATTGCTGCAACTGACAACCTAATACCATTTAAGTTGGTTAGAGAGACGCTTCTGTGATTAACATCTCTGCTTTAGGAAGTAGCAGCCAGTAATAACTGTCAAAGCACGACCCGGCATGTAATAAATAGACGTGCTGAGAGAAGCTGTAGACTTAACTGAAACCACGTCAAGTGAACTCATCCTAGCTCTGCCTTGTCTCGTTAATGTATATTGTTTTCTTACTTTCGGTCCAAACTGTGGCGCATAATTACATGATTGTAACATTCCATGCTAAAATGTAAGCAAAAGGTTTTAACTAAGCTAAAAAACTTATAAAAATTACCTGATAGTATTTTTAAACTGGGTGACAGGGAAAATAACAACCTTGTTTGCTCCCAAGTTTGGATTTGCAATTGTTAAGTGTAGGACATTTGGCTGTACAAATCTAATTTCCCCCCTGCATAAACATTTTTGATGCTACAATATGCAGGAATAAACATTTTTAAGCCTCCTGCTTTGAGAACAAAACCCATTTGCAAGTAGTAGCGATAGGTGCTTTACAGCATGAAAATCAAAATAACACTGGTTAAGTTATCGATTGAAGTGTTGGTGCCTACTTTGCAGGTGCTAGGCCCCGTTCCTACCAAACCTTGTTCAGCTTCTTGTAGTCCTTCTGTGTTGTTCTGTCTCAGCAGGGACACGCAGCAGTGGCATAACAGCATGGAGCTTTGAGAGAATACTCATAGAAATAATGAACAATTTAGGCTATGGTGAAGTTTGCAGATGGCCAGCAACATGGCAGATGGCCCGTGGAAGGCTATACCACAGGTGTTCAAATGGACAAGGATTTTTAGGGAGTAATAAAGAACAGAATCACTAAAGAATCTTCTGTTTTTAGTACTACCTTAATAATGAAAAAAATCCTTAGGGAGTAATAAAGAACAGAATCACTATTTTAGTACTACCTTAATAATGAAAAAAATCTATAATGAATAATGGGTTTATATGACACTGCTCTCCTAACCCTCTATTGTGCTATGTGCATGTGCACGACTGTGCATCTACTGCAAAATTTTTACTGAGACCCATTACAGCCATCCCAGAATGGCGATAATTCTAACTGGGGCCAAAGAAGGTGTATTATACACAATTTGTATAAGAAGCATGAACTATAAGGTGCATCTGGCTGCTTTCTCTTCAAGTAGACTTTGGAAATGACAGCGTTATGACATTTCTACCCATGGCACAAAGCAACACCTGCTCCTTCCCCCATTGAAAAGCAAATTATAACAGCATTCCAACAAAAATGCAGCTTCCTGCCCCTGTACCTGCTTAGGAATAACTGGAATAATGCAGAGGTAAAACCAGGCTCCTGAGCTTCAAGAAGCCATTCCACAGCCTTCTGCTTAAAGGATAAAGTCACTGTGATGAAAAGCAATTTCTGTAGAAAAAGCTACTGGAATAAAAGTCTTAGACTGCTGTTTTGTTGGATGAGAGTCTATCTTTATTTATTTGGTAAATTAAATATCCTATGATGGAGGCATACTCTTAAATGTTCCATTTCGTCATATTCACTAATTCCCAGTAAAAGAAACTATTTCTAATTTCTGCAGCTGGCAGTCGGGTTTCTGAAATGGCAGGCTTTGTTGAATGTCACTCTGCCTCTGGAACTGCTCTGGTACTTGGCAAAATACATTAGCCCTTGGGAACAGACGCCTGAAGAATTGAAGCACAACCTATGATATACTTTCCAAAGCTTTTAATCTTTTTGCTTTCCAAAAATATAAGAGTCCCACGATAGCCTGTACACGCACTTCACGTCAGAGATCCTCTTTTTATTTTTTATTCTTTTTTTTTTAATTGAAAAAAAGATACTCCTCTTGAAAGCCAAGCTCTAGCTGCAACAACATGTAGCACAATACGGTCTGCTTCAGCACTTGATTATCCTAGATTAACAGCAGAGATATTTTGCAATTCACAGATGGCTGCTCTTCAAAATAAACAGCCAGTAACCACACACAGAATGCCTTGCTGCCTATTCAGAAATTCTCCATCTTAGTGTTTTTTGGTGGTCTCTAGGCATCGTTTATCACTTCCATCAGTCATGTTAGCATGGAGTCTAATTACCACACAGATTAATATTTGTGTGTCCTTCACCTCCAGAAAAGTGAATTTTTGAGTTGCTACACAAAGGCTGTGATGCACCACAGAGAATGGTGAAAGAGTTGTGGCTCATTAAGGAGAAGAAGATCACAGCAGAGAGCAGACACAACGCAAGGCTAAAGGAGGTGTGTGTGGGGAAGGTTTGCTCTTGACCATACACTTCAAAGCTCAGAGTAAAATATGAGATTCCTGAATTTGTCCGAACAGCAGATTTCTCCACGTAACTGTGAAAGCAGCTGGCAAAGCGTTTCACCTCCCTCTAGTGCTAGTTCATGTGAAGAATGACAGCCAGTTGGTGCTAGCAGCAACCCTCTGCACTGAGATGCTAGACACAGAGGAATTCCATCTAACAGTTCCAGTTTTACTCTGTGCTTGTGTTAACGTCAACATAGAATTTCAATTTTGTTTTCATTTGCTTCTTAAAAACGTAAGAAAATTACTTAAAAATTCAAATTACTTAATTCATTCAAACTGCAAGTTGGTACTTAAAATTTGGAAAAATCTGAGAGTGAAATATTTTAACCAAGGTTTCTTGTACCTGCACAGAAAGCTTTAATGATGTAACAAAGTACTCTTCGTTACCTTTCATTACATTTTCTTCCAGAAAAACAACCCACAAAACCCCAACAAAGCCAAACCAAGCCAAGAACTGAGGCTGTACTTTTTTTCCCCACCTGTCAGTCTCTCTCATTTCCTCTCCCTCCTAAATTTTGAGCCAACTAGCCAACCCCAACATATGTTTCTCCAAAGAGGTGGGAAGGACACAAAGTTCCTGCCACTTGAATGATGACTGAGGAGACCAGTAGCTTATTTTGTGGTGTTTGCCAGCAGATGAGCAAATGTGCATATATGATGCAGCTGAGTAGCACTTTGGAGGCCATAATTAGCCAGTGCAGGTGCTATTTCCTTTCTGCTGGTGATTAGGGGGTGAATCTATAATGAATAATGGGTTTATATGACACTGCTCTCCTAACCCTCTATTGTGCTATGTGCATGTGCACGACTGTGCATCTACTGCAAAATTTTTACTGAGACCCATTACAGCCATCCCAGAATGGCGATAATTCTAACTGGGGCCAAAGAAGGTGTATTATACACAATTTGTATAAGAAGCATGAACTATAAGGTGCATCTGGCTGCTTTCTCTTCAAGTAGACTTTGGAACTGACAGCATTATGACATTCCTACCCATGGCACAAAGCAACACCTGCTCCTTCCCCCTTTGAAAAGCAAATTATAATAGCATTCCAACCAAAAATGCAGCTTCCTGCCCCTGTACCTGCTTAGGAATAACTGGAATAATGCAGAGGCAAAACCAGGCTCCTGAGCTTCAAGAAGCCATTCCACAGCCTTCTGCTTAAAGGATAAAGTCACTGTGATGAAAAGCAATTTCTGTAGAAAAAGCTACTGGAATAAAAGTCTTAGACTGCTGTTTTGTTGGATGAGAGTCTATCTTTATTTATCTGGTAAAGTAAATATCCTATGATGGATGCATACTCTTAAATGTTCCATTTCGTCATATTCACTAATTCCCAGTAAAAGAAACTATTTCTAATTTCTGCAGCTGGCAGTCGGGTTTCTGAAATGGCAGGCTTTGTTGAATGTCACTCTGCCTCTGGAACTGCTCCGGTACATGGCAAAATACATTAGTCCTTGGGAACAGACGCCTGAAGAATTGAAGCACAACCTATGATATACTTTCCAAAGCTTTTAATCTTTTTGCTTTCCAAAAATATAAGAGTCCCACGATAGCCTGTACACGCACTTCACGTCAGAGATCCTCTTTTTATTTTTTATTCTTTTTTTTTTAATTGAAAAAAAGATACTCCTCTTGAAAGCCAAGCTCTAGCTGCAACAACATGTAGCACAATACGGTCTGCTTCAGCACTTGATTATCCTAGATTAACAGCAGAGATATTTTGCAATTCACAGATGGCTGCTCTTCAAAATAAACAGCCAGTAACCACACACAGAATGCCTTGCTGCCTATTCAGAAATTCTCCATCTTAGTGTTTTTTGGTGGTCTCTATTTCTTTATTTTTTAAATTGAAAAAGATACTCCTCTTGAAAGCCAAGCTCTAGCTGCAACAACATGTAGCACAATACGGTCTGCTTCAGCACTTGATTATCCTAGATTAACAGCAGAGATATTTTGCAATTCACAGATGGCTGCTCTTCAAAATAAACAGCCAGTAACCGCACACAGAATGCCTTGCTGTCTATTCAGAAATTCTCCATCTTAGTGTTTTTTGGTGGTCTCTAGGCATCGTTTATCACTTCCATCAGTCATGTTAGCATGGAGTCTAATTACCACACAGATTAATATTTGTGTGTCCTTCACCTCCAGAAAAGTGAATTTTTGAGTTGCTACACAAAGGCTGTGATGCACCACAGAGAATGGTGAAAGAGTTGTGGCTCATTAAGGAGAAGAAGATCACAGCAGAGAGCAGACACAACGCAAGGCTAAAGGAGGTGTGTGTGGGGAAGGTTTGCTCTTGACCATACACTTCAAAGCTCAGAGTAAAATATGAGATTCCTGAATTTGTCCGAACAGCAGATTTCTCCACGTAACTGTGAAAGCAGCTGGCAAAGCGTTTCACCTCCCTCTAGTGCTAGTTCATGTGAAGAATGACAGCCAGTTGGTGCTAGCAGCAACCCTCTGCACTGAGATGCTAGACACAGAGGAATTCCATCTAACAGTTCCAGTTTTACTCTGTGCTTGTGTTAACGTCAACATAGAATTTCAATTTTGTTTTCATTTGCTTCTTAAAAACGTAAGAAAATTACTTAAAAATTCAAATTACTTAATTCATTCAAACTGCAAGTTGGTACTTAAAATTTGGAAAAATCTGAGAGTGAAATATTTTAACCAAGGTTTCTTGTACCTGCACAGAAAGCTTTAATGATGTAACAAAGTACTCTTCGTTACCTTTCATTACATTTTCTTCCAGAAAAACAACCCACAAAACCCCAACAAAGCCAAACCAAGCCAAGAACTGAGGCTGTACTTTTTTTCCCCACCTGTCAGTCTCTCTCATTTCCTCTCCCTCCTAAATTTTGAGCCAACTAGCCAACCCCAACATATGTTTCTCCAAAGAGGTGGGAAGGACACAAAGTTCCTGCCACTTGAATGATGACTGAGGAGACCAGTAGCTTATTTTGTGGTGTTTGCCAGCAGATGAGCAAATGTGCATATATGATGCAGCTGAGTAGCACTTTGGAGGCCATAATTAGCCAGTGCAGGTGCTATTTCCTTTCTGCTGGTGATTAGGGGGTGAAAGACTGAGCTAGCAGTGCTGCAGGAGGAGAGCTCAGAAGGCACAGGCACGCGTGGGGTGGGGAGAGACGTCCAGGGACAGAAGGTATTTTGTGTGGAAGGATGTAGGAGCTAGTGTCACTTGGTCTGTCACCCATGGATCAGCTCATTTCCACAGAGTGCTGCTCCTCTTGCCACACAGGCAGTCCTGCTCTTAGGAAAGATATTTCTCAGTTGTACATTTTGCTCTTGCCCTGCTCACCTGCTGCAGAAGATGGAAGGCATGCCAGATGATGGAAATAAGCTCTATAAGCGACAGGCATCCAACGTCATCGTGAGTAACTGGATTCTCCCACATTCTGGTTTTTACCCCATTTGGTTTTGTTTTTTGGAATGCGGTGGGAGATGTTACTTTCCCCAGCTTTATTGGGAGGTTTCTGTCCTGAAGCTGTTCTTCTCATTTGCTTGAACTACAGGTAATTAAGCAGG